GCCACATATTTTCACTCGCCGTTCTGGCTCGTGAAAATATGTGGCATTTTATCATGTTTCGTGAAAATATATTCCATATTTCACGCAAACGAAAAAATATCCTCTTATTATTATTTTAATGCAAAATTCTTAAAGAGAAGATAACTCTTGAAATAAAGATGCTAAATTTATGAACATTGTCATATATGATGTGAGTTTTACTTTAAGTTTAAAGATACCATTTATAGTCACAAAGAAGATAAGTAAAAAAATAACAATTTTCAAATATAGCATTAACTATAATGTATAGTAAGTAACAAAGATGAAAATTAAAAAAGAAATATAAGGTAGGTGTTGATAATAAATGTTTATTTTGAATTTGAAGAAAATCCATGAAGAAAAAAGTAGAAAGTTAAAGAATGAAAAAGAAAAATTCAAAGTTTAAGGAGGAGATAATTCTGGAAAATTGAATTCTAGATTGATAAACATTGTCATATTATGATGTGGGATTTTAAAGTAAATCCTATAAGGAATGAAGAAGTTGGAGTACAAAATACCAATTTCTCGAAAAAAAATCTAAGTTCAAGGGGGACATAATTCTGGAAATAGTCTTGCTAGAGTATTTAACCTTCTCAAAAATGTTCAGTGATAATAAGAAACATATATATGAAGTTTGAAGTAGATACATTAAGAAATAAAGAAGTTATTTAAAAAAGAAAACATTTTTTTTCATACAAATTCTAAGTTCAAAGGAGGTAATTCTGATATTTTTTGTGCTAGAGTTGTAAACTTTGTCACATATGATGTGATTGATGACCAGAAACTTATATTTAAAGTTTGAAGTAAACACCTTAAGAAATGAAGAACTTATAGTGAAAAAGCTTAAAAATTTAAATCAGAAATCTTGAAATTCAGTCTATTTGTTGCCATAGCAACCAGAATTTTCAACACAGGAAGAACAGAAAAAGATGGCATAATCTCTAGACTGCCATCTACCCATATTTCAAGTTTCATAAAAATATTGTCAGTACTTTTTGAGTTATCACTGGATCCAGTTTATGTGTTAAATTTGCCATATTTTCAGACTATTTGTTGTCATAGCAACCAGAATTTTCAACATAGAAAGAAAAGAAAAACATGTGCATAATCTCCATACTGCCATCTATCCATATATCAAGTTTCATAAAAATATTTTCAGTACTTTTTGCGTTATCGCGGGATCCAGTTTTGTGGACGGACGGACTGACAGACAGACGGACGGAGGGTAAACCTAAAGTTCCCTCCGGTTAAACCGGTAGGGGACTAACAAAACATGCAAATTGCAAGATATCTTCCTATCAAATATGAAAAACATCTGTCCAAAAATAAAGGCTGTATGGGCAAAAGGGTTAAAATCAATTTTTAACAATTGTGACCTTGATCCAACTGACCCAAACTCCAGCCAACGGATGCAAGTTATCATCCTTTCAAACATGAAAACATCAGTGTACAAGAGGGCCATGATGGCCCTGAAGTCGCTCACCTGAATATAGAAACTCTCAATGACAAGGAACTAGTAATATTGTAAACTATAAAGAAAGCAGGTGTAAAATCTAAATCTTAATCTGATATCACGAAGTTCATAGTTGTATCTGAAATATTACATGTGTAAAAACATTTTTATTGATTCCTCTTGCTCTAAAAGATATGTACATATAAGGAAAATCAATGACCCCCTGGGGCGGGGCCAATTTTGACCCCAGGGCTTTTATTTGCTCAAACTTGGTAGACACCCATCAGAAGATTTTTCATGCTTAATATCTAACCTCTTTGGGATTTTTAATAAAATAATATTTTTAAAGTTTTTACTACATACAATGTACATATAAGGAAAATCAATAACACCCATGGGAGGGGCCAATTTTGACCCAAGGGCTTTTATTAGAGCAAACTTGGTTGAAACCCATAAGAAGATGTTTCATGCTTAAGATCTAAGTTCTAGCCCTTTGGATTTTTAAAAGAAGATTATTTTATTAGTTTTTACTATGTACATATAAGGAAAATCAATGACCCCCAAGGTAGGGGTCAATTTTGACCCCAGGGCTTTTATTTGAACAAACTTGGTAGACACCCATTAGAAGATGTTTCATGGTAAATATCTAAGCTCTAGCTCCTTCGATTTTTTTAAAGAAGATTTTTTTTGTATTACTATATTCATATAGGGAAAATTAATGACCTGATGTGGCCGGGCCAACTTTGACCCCAGGGCTTTTATTTAAACAAACTTGGTGGACACACATTAGAAGATTTTTTCATGCTTTATATCTAAGCTGTAGCTCTTTGGGTATTTTAAAAGAAGATTTTTAAGTTTTTACTTTGTACATATAAGAAAAATCAATGACCACCGGGACGGGGGAACTTTTGACCCTAGGGCTTTTATTTTAACAATCTTGGTAAACACACATTAGAAGATGTTTCATGCTAAATATATAAGCTCAAGCTCTTTGGGTTGTTTAAAAGAAGATTTTTGTTTTTACTACATACATAAAGAGAAAGGCAATGAACCCCATCAACCCGGGATCGGGCCAATTTCGAACCTAGGGCTTTTATGTGAACAAACTTGGTAAACACATATTAGAAGATGTTTCATGCTATTTATCTAAGCTCTAGCTCTTTTGGTTTTTTAAAAGAAGATTTTTTAAGTTTTTACAATATACATATGGAAAATCAATGATCCCCTTGGGCTTTTGACCCCAGGGCTTTGATTTGAACAAACTTGGTGGACACACATAAGAAGATTTTTTTATGCTTTACATCTAAGCTCTTAAATCAACGACCCCCTGGGGTGGGGGAACTTTTGACCCTAGGGCTTTTATTTGAACAATTTTAGTAGACACATATTAGAAGATGTTTCATGCTAAATATATAAGCTTCAGCTCTTTGGGTTTTTAAAAGAAGATTTTGTTTTTCGTTTTTACTATATACATTATTGGGAAAATCAATGACCCCCTGGGGTGGGGCCAATTTAGAACCTAGGGTTTTTATTTGAACTAAAATGTGTCATCATGCCACGGATGCCCCCACATGCAACCAAAATTTCAGATGTTATAATATTTAGTTCCAAATTTCTTTCCACAAATTATTTTTTTCATTTTAAGTTCAAAGCCCTTAAAACTATTCAATGTTAACACAAACCATTTTTATACAAAGTTCAAGGCACTGAAACTATTCAGTGTTAACCTTTTGTAAATTGCATATTGCATATATGTAGCCAAAATAATGGGTACATACATTTCCACAAAAGTATGAGTGCTGAAACTGAAAATTCAAATTTTTTCCAAAATTCAAGAAAGATAACTTTGTCCAAAATCATTGAACCACGACCAAATTCAAACTTGAACTGCTTTTTCCTAAGATGTATCTATATGTTAAATTTGAGTTGAATGTGTACAACTATAGGGGAGATAATGAACGGAAACTTAAAATTTCTGATGTTTTTTCAAAGTTCAAGAGGAATAACTCTGTCAGCTATCATCAAACCATGACCAAATTCGAACTTGACCATTGCATTCTTATGACATATCCATATCTTTAATTTGTTGTTGAATATGTACAACTGTTGGGGAGATAATGAATGTGAACTGAAAATTTCCTTTTTTCAAAGTAAAAGGGGCATAACTCTGCCAAAAATCATCGAACCATGACCAAATTCGAACTTGACCTGTGCATTCCTTTGACATATCCATATGTAAAATTTGAGTTGAATATGTAACACTGTTGGTGAGACAATGAACAGAAACAGAAACTTCATATTATTTTCAAAGTGAAAGGGGCATTACTCTGCCAGAAATCATTGAACCATGACCCAATTCAAACTTGGTCTGCGCATTCTTTTAACATATCCATATGTCAAATTTGAGTTGAATGTGTAAACTGTTGGGGAGATAATGAACGGAAACTGAAAATTTCTTATTGTTTTCAAAGTGAAAGGGGCATACCTCTGCCAAAAATCATCGAACCATGACAAAATTTGAACTTGACCTGCGCATTCCTTTGACATATCCATATGTCAAGTTTGAGTTGAATGTGTAATACTGTTGGGGAGATAATGAACATAAACTGAAAATTTCCTATTATTTTCAAAGTAAAAGGGGCTCAACTCTGCCAAAAATCATCGACCCATGACCAAATTCAAACGTGACCTGTATTTTCTCATGACATATCTATTTGTCAAGTTTGAGTTGATGTGTTATACCATTGGGGATATAATGAACGGAAACTGAAAATTTCATGTTATTTTCAAAGTAAAAGGGGCATAACTCTGACAAAATTCATCGAACCATGACCAAATTCGAACTTGACCTGTATTTTTTCATGGGATATCCATATGCCAAATTTGAGTTGAATGTGTGCTACCGTTACTAAGATAATGAACGGAAACTGATGATGACGGAATGACAAAATGACGGAACAGGGTAACACTATATGCCCCAGCCATTATATGGCGGGGGCATAACAAATTGGTAGACACCCATTAGAAGATGTTTCATGCTTAATATCTAAGCTTTAACTGCTTGGTTTTTTTAAAAGAAGATTTTTTAAGTTTTTACTACATTCATATAAGGAAAATCAATGACCCCGGGGCTTTGCCAATTTTGACCCCAGGGCTTTTTAAAATTTACTTGAACAAACTTGGTAGACACCCACTAGAAAATGTTTCATGATAAATATCCCAGCTCTAGCGCTTTAGGTTTTCTAAAAGGAGATATTTTAAGTTTTTTTTTAATGGCAACTAGAGTTCTGCATGGAATTAAATTCTTTGAACAATTTTTAAAGGTGACCACCAAAGGGAAGTTTAGATGTAATTGGCTTAGTGGCTTATGAGGAGATGTCATTTAAAGTTAAAATTTATGGACAGACGGCGGACGAAAAGCGATTACAAAAGCTTACCCTGTCACTTTGTGACAGGTGAGCTAAAAACGATGGTTTCTACATGCTTTAATTTTAATAATTTAATGATTGTAATATTTAATAGTTATTACCAGTGTGCCAATGTTGTTGATTTTCTCTCTCCAGACAATAGTAAATTGTCTTTTTTTTATAGCACCTGCTAATGAAGCCTGTAACCTTGGTAATGGCCACTGATGGTTCTCATCAATTAATACAAGATCTGTCTGAGTAATAGCTAAACTCTTTCTGACTTTTTCATCTACAACAGTACAAACAAAACTATTTTAGCAGATGATAGACTTCTAAACATTTGTCAATATAGTAAACTAAACTATCAATTCAACTTGTAAAACATTTCAAATATAAGGTATTTATACAATACAGTCTGACAAACCCTGGTTAATCGGAAACCCTTTATTCGAATACCCGGAATTATCCAAAAAAGATGGACGGCCAGTTTATATCTCTATATAAACTAGACTTATCACTGAAGGTGATAAATACCCCCCACCAGCAACTTTGACTTTTTGAAAAATAAGTAGTCTGAAGAAAATTTTGAACTCAACCTACAGTAAATGAAGTATCAACTGTGTATAAAGAATTATTTCAATTAATTGAAATCCAAACAGGTGTCTTCATATAAACTTGCTTTACACAAAGTTTGATTACAATATCACATTCCTAACTTTAGTTATTGTCCGAAAACATTTATCTATTTTTAGTAATGGTGACCTTGTCCTTTACCCCAGGGGTCTGAATGCAATACCAACCGTGGTCTTCATATAAGCTTGCTATTTACAATATCTCATTCCTAACACCAGTTAATGTCCGGAAACTATTTTTCTATTTCTAGTAACGGTGACCTTTACCTTGACCCCAGGGGGTCCAGTTGCAATACCAACCGGGGTATTCATATAAGCTTCCTGTACATCAAGTTCGATTACTATATCTCATTCCTCACTCGAGTTTTTGCCCGGAAACCATTTTCCTTTTTTTAGTGATGGTGACCTTGACCCCAGGGGGTCAAAATGCAATACCAACCGGGGTCTTCACATAAGCTTGCTATACATCAAGTTTGATTACAATATTTCATTCTTAACTCTAGTTATTGTGTTGACCATGTGTTGTGCGCGAGAATCAGGACCCTAGCTCAAAGGTCATTGTCACACTTGAATTACCAAAATCCTGATATGATTTTTTCATGAAAGTGAGCTGATGTTCATCATTCTTGGATGGTTCTAGAATAACTTGGCATTATCATATCCAGTCATCAATTATGTAATTCATTGATGGATTTCAAGACAACTAGGCAAACTTTTGTGGTACATTACAAACAAACATCAGCTAGAAAGGTGAAGGTTACATATATACTTATATGTCAAAATACTGCAAATTCACTTATATTCGTGGGCATGAAATTTCGTGGTTTTATCTAAACGGGCCTTTTCGTGGGTTCTTAAATTTGTGGATTTTCATTTTCTTGTCAAAAAAAAAAACTTAATGAAAAGTAATCTTAAAATTAACCGTCGCGCATTTTAACTTACCGCGTGAACATATCTTTACAGCGCTTGTCAATAATCTAATCCTTGCCTTTAGGAATAACATAAAGATAGCAGCTATTGCCGATAATTGACTGCAATTTACACATCTAGATGACATGATATGCAGCTCCATTGTACACACTGCCCCTGTGATTCGCCGATGTAAACATTGCATAATTAATACAACCCCTGACACGTTTTAACCAGCGAGTTTAAAAAGTTTACACTCTGAATCGGTCTTACTGTATTTGGCAGTATCTACACGCAACATCACATCGACTGTGTAAATTTACATGCATATAAATAAATATGAGTGAATAATACGAGATTGTGTGGATATATTAAGAAGTCGGCAGCGTCTTTGATGTTTACGGAATAGCAGTCGCACAATTACAGATTAAAATCTAAACTGGACCATTTAAAGACGACAAAAGGATGTACAATTCATCCGTTTTAATGATTGTTTATTATTTTTTGTGTTCTTTACTTACGACATTTATATCAAAGATTTCTTTAATTCTATTAACAACAATTAATGAGAGCAAACTGACAATTTATATTAGCGCTAATTATTGCACTGGTTTCCCATTTTTACTCGATTATGTCAAATATTCTGGATTACACAATCAAGTAGCCTTCAACAATTAAGCAGTCTCACTGATGTGTATATACGACCGAAAATCAGGACATAAAGTCGACGTTGCTTTCAAGTTTCTTAAATATTGCAAACCTAAACTAATTATAGATTTAATCTGTCATTAACCTGATTATCTTTATACCATCATAACACAATAATCGACGCATGTATAGAATAGAGACATGGTTAGAAGTAATTGTTGGGATAAAATTTCGTCGGATCTTAAATTCGTGGATTGACCTACCCACGAAAACCACGAAAATTCGTGCCCCACGAATAATAATGATTTTACAGTAGTACATTGTGTCTAGTCATATCTTTGTCATTAATTCATGGATGCTTCTTGAAATAATTTGGCACCCTAAGAATATGAGAAAGTATCTGTTAATGTTTCTATATTCTTGTAACACTCTTTTTATAGTAATCTTTGCCTTGTTGTAAGTCAAAGGTCAATGTTCCTCTACTAGGCCCTACTTGGGAGGCATTTGTCTGTTTCCAATGACATGTCTTGTTTTCATTTTATTTTTTTTTATCTATTTTAACATTTCATTCATTTTCTTTATATTTTTTTTTAAAAGTAGGAGTAGAAGGAGGTTTTGGAAGAAAAATAGGAAAAAGTAGGAAAGCAATAAAAAAGAAGGATAAAGTAGGAACGGTTGAAGGCCTGTAATAATAACAAGAGGGCCATGATGGTCCTGAGTCGCTCACCAGAAACAACTGCTTTTCAGTGTTGGAAATTGACAATTGTCAATACTTTCTAATATTAAATTTGAGCATAGAATATGTTTAAACAATAATTTGAAGAAATGCCATGACCTGGGGCTTTTAAGCTTTAGCTTAAATGGGGCCAATCAAATTAATATGAGCAAACTTGATAAAATACTACCAATAAATGATACAAAGTTTGGCAATCATCTATCAATTATTTCAGTAGGAAATGATGTTCAAAGGTTTTTCTATTTTTAGCTTAAGTGGCCCCTAAACGGGGCTAATTGAATAAATATGAGCAAACTTGATAAAAAGAGTACCTAAGAATGCTACAAAAACCAAGTTTGGTGATCATCCATCGATTAGTTCTGTAGAAGATGTTAAAAGATTTTTCTATTTCTAGCTTACGCGGCCCCTAAAAGGAGCTAATCAAATTAATATGAGCAAACTTGATAGCAGACTACCAAAGAATGCTACAGACAAAGTTTGGTGATCATCCATCAATTAGTTCTGTAGAAATAGACGTTTAAAGGTATTACTATTTTTAGCTTTAGTGGCCCCTAAAAAAGGTCAATCAAATTACTATGAGCAAACTTGATAAAAGACTACCCAAGAATGCTACAGACAAAGTTTGGTGATCATCCATCAATTATAGTTCTGTAGAAGATGTTTAAAGTTTTTTCTATTTTAGCTTTAGTGGCCCCTAAAAAAGGTCAATCAAATTACTATGAGCAAACTTGATAACAGACTACCTAAGAATGCTACAGACAAAGTTTGGTGATCATCCATCGATTAGTTCTGTAGAAAAAAGACATTTAAGATATTTCTATTTTTAGCTTTAGCAGCCCCTAAAAGGGGCCAATCAAATTACTATGAGCAAACTTGATAAAAGACTACCCAAAAATGCTACAGACAAAGTTTGTAATCATCCATCAATCAGTTCTGTTGAAGAAGATGTTTAAAGGTTTTTCTATTTTTAGCCCTAGAGACCCCTAAAAAGGGCCAATCAAATTAATATGAGCAAACTTGATAAAAGACTACCAAAGAATGCTACAGACAAAGTTAGGTAATCATCCATCAATTAGTTCTGAAGAAATAGACGTTTAAAGGTATTTCTATTTTTAGTTTTAGTGGCTCTTAAAAGGGGCCAATCAAATTACTATGAGCAAACTTGATAAAAGACTACCAAAGAATGATACAAAGTTTGGTGATCATCTATCAATTTTTTTCAGTATGAAATGATGTTCAAAGGTTTTTCTATTTTTAGCTGGAGTGGACCCTAAAAGGGGCTAATCAAATAAATATGAGCAAACTTGATAAAAGAGTACCTAAGAATGCTACAGACCAAGTTTGGTGATCATCCATTAATTAGTTCTGTAGTAAAAGATGGGTGAAGGTTTTTCTATTTTTAGCTTTAGCGGCCCTTAAAAGATGCCAATCATATTAATATGAGCAAACTTGATAAAAGACTACCCAAGATTGTTTGGTGATCATCCAATATCAATTAGTTCTGTAGAAGAAGTTATTTAAAGGTTTTTCTATTTTTAGCACCAGATACCCCTAAAAGGGGCCAATCAAATTAATATGAGCAAACTTGATAACAGACTACCTAAGAATGCTACAGACAAAGTTTGGTGATCATCCATCGATTAGTTCTGTAGAAATAGACATTAAAGGTATTTGTATTTTTAGCTTTAGTGGCCCCTAAAAGGGGCCAATCAAATTACCTTGAGCAAACTTGATAAAAGACTACCCAAAAATGCTACAGACAAAGTTTGGTGATCATCCATCAATTAGTTCTGTAGAAATAGACATTTAAAGGTATTTTTATTTTTAGATTTAGCAGCCCCTAAAAGAGGCCAATCAAATTAATATGAGCAAACTTGATAAAAGACTACCCAAAAATGCTACAGACAAAGTTTGGTGATCATCCAATAGTTCCATAGAAGAAGATGTTTAAAGGTTTTTCTATTTTTAGCCCTAAAAGGGGCCAATCAAATTAATATGAGCAAACTTGATAAAAGACTACCCAAGAATGCTATAGACAAAGTTTCGTGATCATCCATCAATTAGTTCTGTAGAAAAGCATGTTTGAAGGTTTTTCTATTTTGAGCTCTGTTGACCCCTAAAAGGGGCCAATTGAAATGACGTGAACAAATTCAAGTGTAACTGTCACAAGGATGCTACAGACCAAATTTGAAGTTAATCTGCCCAGCAGTTTCAGAGAAGAAGACGTTTGTTGATGCATTACAATGGAAGACGGAGCATCTCCCTTTGATACTAATAGCTCGGACACCCGAAGCTTCGGTTCTGGTGAGCTAATAATAATAACAAGGGCAACATTGTCACAATATACGTCCGTCACAGAAGCTTTTGACAGAGATGTGGGCATTATATATATGCATATAGGAGATATGCTCTGGGCAATATCCGGAAAATATCTGGATATATTATCATCTCTTGTGATTTTTTTATCTGCACTTTGACCCCTATGTGTGACCTTTACCTTGGCCGCAGGGACCTAAATTTTGCACTCAACAGTCTGTCTCTTAATAGTGAACATTTGTGCCAAGTTATATTGAAATCCCTCTCTGCATGTAGAAGTTTTGCTCCGGACAATCGTTTTTCAATGACCTCTAAGTGTGACCTTGACCTTTGACCTAGTGGCCTGGTCCATGCGTGACATTGCTTCTCATAGTGGTTAACATTTCTATGAAGTTTCATTAAATTTTTCCATGGGTTTAGGAGATGGGTTTAGGAGATCTGCTCCGGACAAAAATCGGACGCTGCCGGCCAGCTTCCCAACCAGCCACCAGGGGGGAAACTATAATAATAATAATAATAATAATAATGATAAGTAGTGAAAATACAAAATTAATATTGTTTTAGTAGCTAGAAAATTAAAATCGATCAAAATTAAAAAAAAAAACACAATATTACAACAATACTGATGAATGCAATAATTACTATCATAAACAACAATAACACTGATAATTCCTACAACACCCATCATCATCATCAAGTCCATCTCAATCATCTTAACAACAATACTAATGATAACAGCAACACTACCAATGACACTAATAATAATGATAATAACAATAATACCAACAATAATATTATTAATATCATCATAATCACCAACACCACCACCATCATGACCATTATATCAATCATCATTATTAATAACAACAATGTTATTCTAACAATAATTACAATAACAAAAATACCAGCAATAGTGATTATGACAGCAATAGTAATTTTAATAATAAGTCTTATTTTGTTTTGATATTCAGTCCGATAGGTGACCATGTTCGTAACTTGTTTATCCAAAACTCTTCATGAATCCTTCTGTTAATTGTACTTTTATCGTTATCAATTGATTCTATGATATTGAATTTTTATGTCATTTTCAAAATTGAAATGGTTAGACAAGGATACTTCATGCAAAATATCTTAGTTTTAACATAAATATAATATTTTTTGGCATATGAAAATGTGTTGTTATTACCTTCTTTGATTTGAAGCTTTAAAATTCAGCAATTCAAAATGCAGTGGTAGACATGGGCTAAGCTTATTATATTTGTATTTTTTCCTATGAACATATATGTTGTTTTAATGTATAATAAGAAAGGAAAAGCCAGGTACCTAACATCAGCCCATATTCAAATAGAGACTGACTACCCACAATATAGCAAAACTGTGAGTATTCATGTCTTAAAGTTGATAAACAACATTAACAAGAGCTGTCGGTAGGACAGCAACGCTCGACTATTCTTAGTGCTTGATAGTAAAAAAAAATGCTTGATACAGTTACCTCCTCCTGTTTACAGGTTGGGGTAATGATGGTGAACAAGTGTGCAAAGTTTCAAAGCCATATGTCAATGAACTTTGAAAATATTTGAGGTATTACAAAAATTTTTAACATAAATTCTAAGTCGAAAAAGGGACATAATTCTGTCAAAATGCTTGATAGAGTTACCTCCTCCTGTCTACAAGTTGGGGTCATGATGGTGAACAAGTGTGCAAAGTTTCAAAGCCATATGTCAATGGACTTGGAAAATATTTAAGGTATTACAAAAACTTTAACATAAATTCTAAGTCGAAAAAGGGGCATAATTCTGTCAAAATGCTTGATAGAGTTACCTCCTCCTGTCTACAGGTTGGGGTCATGATGGTGAACAAGTGTGCAAAGTTTCAAAGCCAAATGTCAATGGACTTTGAAAATAGTTGAACTATTACAAAAACTTTAACATAAGTGGTTACGCCGACGCAGACGCCGACACTGACGCCGACGCTCGGGTGACTGCAATAGCTCTACTTATTCTTATCGAATAGTCGAGCTAAAAATGACATTTTATATGCCTCATTTACAACTTATTATTAGTGATTTTAAATATCTTAAGTAACATCAGTTTCTATTAGTAAGATTGTTTTATTTCAAAATAATTAAATCATATAAACCTATAAAAGCTCCTAAATTATTATAATCTTAACAGGAAAAAATTCTAAAAATATGAAGTTTAGTAAAAAAAAACAAAAAAAAACAATAAAAACAATTATAAAGTAACAGATTTTGGAAAATAAAAGGAGGTAAATATATATATATTGGGAGGAAACAAATTAGTAAAATCATTCATCTCCTATTGTAATATAAACACTGATATAAGGATTTTGAATGAGTCAGTGTGACCTTGACCTGAGGTAGTCCAAAATTGCGCACTGCACATCATCTCAGTAATATAAATATTTCTACCAAATAGATTTAATTTCATACTATCAGTTTAAAAGATACAGAGCGGACTAAAATTTTGAAATTGATATTAAATGTCTCAGTGTGACCTTGACCTGAGAAAGTTCAAACCTGCCCTTTGCACATCGCCTCATTTGGTTAATATTTCTGCCAAATAGTTTCAATTTCTTTCCATCAGTTCAAAAGATACAGACTGGACAAGAAAATCTGCTAACAGACAGACGGATAACCAGATGTTGTGTTCACTAAGAAAAGATCAGGATCAGGATCAAGTGATCCTGATTTTCTTTTCTTTATTTTATATAACTTATATTGATCGTATTTTGCTAGAATTAAATGGTACATATTCAAAATGTAAACAATTGCTGATTTGCAAAGAAACCAAACTATTATGGGATAAAATCGATGAATAATAAAACAAATACAAAAATAAGCGGATCAAAATAAGGATCAATTTTAGGATCAAGATCAATATTTTGATGATTGATTGATTTTCTTAGACCGGGCGGTCAAGGATGACCTACGAAAGTGCAAGCACTTATTTCCAGTAGAGACAGCTATGAGATACAAGGAAATCCGGGAGTCAGTCCCTAGCTCTTATTGAATAGATTCCTTGGTTCTTTTACATGCCCAGTGTATAGCACTGATACATGCGAGGATTACCTGGGTTTCGTACCAGTAAAGCTCTAGTTAGTTGGGAAACACTGAAAGTGTTTCTGAAAAATCTTAAGGGTGTTACCCAGGATCGAACCCGGAACCTCAGGAGTGACAGTCAGTGGTCTAACCAACTGAGCTATCGCGCCACATGAACTGTAAAATGCACATGTCTTGCAAACATAACAATAAATTTGTTCTAAAATTTCATTAACATGCTATTTCAAGTCCTGTTTTATCATTTTAATATTAAATATTTAATCTACGACGATATCATAAACAATGGAGAATATTTGAGTTTTTAGATTTGATCCTGATCTTGATCCTTAAATCTTTGTGAACACGGGGCATAACAATATACGCCGTAATTCATTGGGGCTTATAATAATTAACTTTTAAACCGAAAATTCATTGTGTGCAAGGGATTTCTGTTTTAATAATTGTTAAGATAAAGGAGTTGAATTTAATAATTTTAATTAAAGATTGAAGATAAAAATTTTAAATAATAATAATAATAATAAAATTAAACTAAGTATTTATAAATAATTTTTCTATTTTACTATGTCCAGTGTTGTTACTGTTAATGCTTGAAAATGAAAGCGAATATTTTCATGTATACATAATGTGGAAAAAAATGCAAGTAAATACCAATAGAAGAATTTTTAAGCATCTTTTGTTCTTTATTTATTTTTCTCGACAGGTGTGTTGTAAACGGTAGATTTTCTATGACTGGCGTATAGTCAAAGTTGGGTAGTTGTAGTCAACAACTATATCCCGATTTCGATTATTTGTACCCATCGATTATTCAAAGTAAATGTTCAGTCCTTGGCAATTTGAATAAAAGAGGTTATAATGTATATTATTAGTTATAAAGATTGTTGACATGTTATATGGCCCTATATAAACGGCTTTTTGTAAATATAACCCGAGCCGCTAGGCGAGGGTTATATTGCAAACAGCTGTTTATATACGGCCATATAACCTATCAACAATCTTTATAACGAATTTATAATACAGCAAACATCATTTTTTTGAGAAAAAAGTAAGATTTCTTCATGAATCGACAACAGCCGTGTATATAAAACTATATAAACGTCACGATTATCCAATGAAAAGCGACGTTACAAACGTGCAGTATTATAAAAATAATTGTAATTATTTCATTGTGTTTTTATGTTGCACTAGCACATATAGGCCTAAATAAGGATATATTGCAACATTCAATCTTTACTAGTGGAGGAAGATCATGATATGGTAGATATTTTTGTCCCAGGACTTTTATTTGAAGAAACTTGGTAGGTACCCATAAGAAAATTTTCATGCTTAATATCTAACCTCTAGCTCTTTTGTCTTTTTAAAAAAAGATTTTTAAAGTTTTCACTATATACATATAAGGAGAATCAATAACCCCCTTATTTGCATGATGTTTCATGCCAAATATCTAAGTTCTAGCTTTTTGAGTTTTTAAAAGAAGATATTTAAGGGTTTTTTTTGGTTTCAATGGCAACTAGAGTTTGTATGGAATTAAAATCTTTAAAAAAAATTTTAAGGTGACCACCAAAGGAGCATTCCTGTGAAGTTAAGATGAAATTGGGTTAGCGGTTTATGAGATGTCATTTTAAGTAAATTTAAAGGTAAGGAATGGACTGAAGAAAAGCGATCACAAAAGCTCACCATGTCACTTTGTGACAGGTGAGCTAAAAATATTTCAATGGATGACAAAGTAACAGTCCGGAAACAAATGTTGTGTAAGGGACGGACAGATGATGCGATTTTAATATGCCGCCCTTCGGAAGCACAAAAATGTATATTCAGCTTATAGTTGTCTGTATATTGAAGCAAATAGAATGTATTTATTACATTCAGCTATATATTCAGTATTACCAGTGTCTGTATGTGTATCATAAAGCAAATGGCATAAAATATATTCAGCTAACCAGTGTTTGCATGAGTGTATTTCAGCATTAAGAAGCTGACTAGCTTCTGATAACTGGAATTATCATCCGCTTTTAAGACTTGATTTTCCAAATTTGTGTAAGTTGTTGGGTTTGACTTCCCTATTCCCTCCAAATGACTATGGTCTGAATGGGCAACAATATCTGAAACAAAACACAGATAATTATAAGCAATGATAATCATTGAAATTATCTTTGATAAAAATGTGACAAACATATAATAAGAGGGATATGGTGGCCTAGAATCACTTACTTGATATATATATTCCTAGAAAAACCCACAACTCTTCACTGCAGAAGTATGTTGTTACTAAGTCACATGGTTTATGTCAATGTTACCTTAGCTGTATACTTTATAAAACAAGAATTTATAACAAAGTTACCGAAGTCCCCCGCTTAAGGGAAGTTTACATGAAGCACAAAATTGTGCTATTTTAAAAGATTATTTTTAAAGTTTATTTTTATATACTATAATTCATCTTACAGGGCACCAAGATGCAGCGTCTGCGTTTAGTGTTTTAACTTTAACAGTTTGAGTTTGATATATACGGAATTTTGCATGACTAGAAAAAATCATTTATGTTAATTTTTTTTAGACAGCTACACTTTATCCTTGCATATCGTGGCTATTTCCTTAAATACGACACTAAAGAAAAAAAAAGATTGCATTTGAGAAAAATGCTATGCCACCCCATTAATACAACATTAAATAGTAGTGTAGGAACAGATTTGTTTCTATACAATTGAAGATTGTCATAATGCATAGATCCCTGACCTATCTAATTCTTATTATCAGATTAGTGGTTAAATCTATTGTTAATTCAACAAGATTGCATTTGAGAAAAATGCTATGCCACCGCATTAATACAACACTAAATAGTAGTGTAGGAACAGATTTTTTTTGTTTCTATGCAATTGAAGATTGTCATAATGCATAGATCCCTGACCTATCTAATTCTTATTATCAGATTAGTGGTTAAATCTATTGTTAATCCAATAACATATCAGAGTAGGAATATATCAATGCACTTGAGTCTGGTGAATTTGGTGGTGAAGGTCATATTTCACACAGCCTAAATTTCATGACTACATCAAAGGACAACACAGTTAGACACTTTGTCAAAATCTAGGTCAGCTGATATCACTACACAATGTTTCATGCAAAATATCTAACCTCTAGCATTTGTCAATTGCTAGAATTTTTTTTTAAAGTTTTTACTATAAGTTTTTACTATATACATATAAGGAAAACCAATGACCCCCGGGGCGGGGCCACTTTTGACCCCAGGGCTATAATTTGAACAATCTGGGTAGAGGTCTACCATACAATGCCTTATGCAAAATATCTAAGCTCTAGGCCTTTTGGGTCTTTACAAGAAAGTATTTTAAGTTTTCACTATATGTACATATAGTGAAAATCAATGACCCCTGGGCCGGGCCGATTTTGACCCCAGGGCTATCATTTGAACAATCTTGGTAAGGGTCTACCAGACACTGCCTTATGCAAAATATCTAAGCTCTAGGTCTTTTGGGTCTTTACAAGAAGGTATTTTAAGTTTTTACTATATGTACATATAGTGAAAATCAATGACCCCCGGGGGCGGGGCCGATTTTGACCCCAGGGCTATCATTTGAACAATCTTGGTAAGGGTCTACCAGACAATGCCTTATGCAAAATATCTAAGCTCTAGGCCTTTTGGGTATTTACATGAAGGTATTTTAAGTTTCTACTATATGTACATATAGTGAAAATCAATGACCCCCGGGGCGGGGCCGATTTTGACCCAAGGGCTATAATTTGAACAATCTTGGTAGAGGTCTACCAGACAATGCTTTATGCAAAATATCTAAGCTCTAGGCCTTTTGGGTCTTTGCAAGAAGATTTTTTAAATTTATTCTTATAATCCCTTTTGGTTGCCATGGCAACCAGATTTCTGCATGGAATGAAATTCTTTGAACAACTTTGGAAGCCCTTCACCCAAGGATCAATTCTGCCAAGTTTGGTTAAAATTGGACTAGTGGTTTTTCACAAGAAGATTTTTGAAGTTCACTATATAACCTATATAACACACACACACACAAACAAACACACACACACACACACACACACACACACACACAGGTGAATCGCTATATGCCACCGCATCGCAGATGCTGCGGTGGCATAATAAAAGATCAGAGTAGGATTATATCAATGCACTTGAGTCTGGTGAATTTGGTGGTGAAGGTCATATTTCACACAGCCTAAATTTCATGACTACATCAAAGGACAACACAGTAAGACACTTTGTCAAAATCTAGGTCAGCTGATATCAAAGTTCACTTTACATCTTAATCTGTGCACATGGTTCAAATTTCATAGCTGTACATCAAGGGACAAGAAAGTAGGTCACATCATCAAAATCTAGGTCACCTGATATATAAGTTCAATTTTACAACTAAAACTGTGCACATGGTCAAAATTTCATTGCTGTACATCAAAGGACAAGAAAGTAGATCACTGTCCCCTTGGGCAAGGCAAAATTTTGACCAAAGGGTTTAATTCAAAACAATCTTGATACAGGTCCACCAAACAACATTTCAAGTCAAATATCTAAGCTGTAGCGTTCTCCCATTCAGAAATCATTTGTTTTATTTTCTGTTTTTACTATGTGTACATAATGAGAATCATTGCCCCCTGACAGGGCCAATTTTCACACCAGGGGAAAAATTTGAACAACTTTGGTAGAGGACCCATAGATGATATTATATACCCTTTCATTTAAGCGATAACAGTCAGGGAAGAGTTACTTCCCTTACCGATGTGACGTAAATGGGGGATAAAACTATGCATGCAGCATAGAAAGTTAGCTTATTGAAAAGTTAAATGCATAAATACTGATCGTTCAATTATGATTATAACATGAAAAATTTAACTTTATCATACATAAATTCCATATTAAGACATAAACAAATCCAAAAACAAATATTTAGATTAATTCTTGCTACGGGGTAAAACAGAGGAATTTCAAAGTGAATATTTTTATTAGATCTAGATTTTCTCTAATGCCAGGATAAAAAGCTATTAATTAAATCAACTTTTAATATTTTATAAACACTCATACACACTTAAATTGCCTTTTATAAATTAAATGGCCATTTTCTAGTTTTCTGTGTTATTTTCTGTCATTTAGAAAATTCCGGCGTATTTGTGACAAACCTGAAAATAAGATTGCCAATGTCTGTTAATGATTGTTTTTCAAGCTTTAATAGAATAATAACAGAATGCATTCTGTCAATACTTCATTATGCCGTATAAAAATATTTCAAAGAACCAGTGAAGGATATAATTTTATAAATATTCCGGAAAGAACAAACAAGAGGGCCATGATGGCCCTGAGGTCGCTCACCTGTATATAGCCCCCCCCCCCCCGGGCCAATTTTTACCCAAGGGCTTTTATTTGAACAGACTTGGTAGACACCCATAAGAAGATGTTTCATGCTAAAAATTTAAGTTCTAGCTCATTGGGTTTTTTAAAAGAAGATTTTTTAAGTTTTTACTATACACATATAGTTAAAAACAATGACACCCCTGGGGCAGGGCCAGTTTTGACCCCCGGGCTTTTATTTGAACAAACTTTGTAGATATTTACTTTAAGATGTTTCATGTATCATATCTAAACTCAAGCTATTTGGGTTTTTTCAAAGAAGATTTTTAAGTTTTTGCTATACACATATAAGGAAAATCAATGACCCCCCGGGGCGGGGCCAGTTTTGACCCCAGGGCTTTTATTTGAACAAACTTGGTAGACACTCATTAGAAGATGTTTCATGCTAAATATCTTAGCTCTAGCTCTTTGGGTTCTTTAAAAGAAGATTTTTTAAGTTTTTACTATATGTATATAGGGAAAATCTATGACCCCCTGGGACGGGGCCAATTTTGACCCCAGGGCTTTTATTTGAACAAACTTGGTAGACATTCACTAGAAAATGTTTCATGCCAAATATCTAAGCTCTAGCTCTTACGGTTCTTTAAAAGAAGATTTTTTAAGTTTTTACTATATGCATATAGGGAAAATCAATGACCCCCCGGGGCGGGGCCAATTTTGACCCCAGGGCTTTTATTTGAACAAACTTGGTAGACACTCACTAGAAGATATTTCATGTCAAATATCTTAGCTCTAGCTCTTTGGGTTCTTTAAAAGAAGATTTTTTAAGTTTTTACTATATGCATATAGGGAAAATCAATGACCCCCTGGGGCGGGGCCAATTTTGACCCCAGGGCTTTTATTTGAACAAACTTGGTAGACACTCTTTAGAAGATGTTTCATGCCAAATATCTAAGCTCTAGCTTTTACAGTTCTTTAAAAGAAGATTTTTTTAAGTTTTTACTATATGCATATAGGGAAAATCAATGACCCCCGGGCCGGGGCCAATTTTGACCCCAGGGCTCTTATTTGAACAAACTTGGTAGACACTCACTAGAAGATGTTTCATGCCAAATATCTTAGCTCTAGCTCTTTGGGTTCTTTAAAAGAAGATTTTTAAGTTTTTACTATATGCATATAGGGAAAATCAATGACCCCCTGGGGCGGGGCCAATTTTGACCCTAGGGCTTTTATTTGAACAAACTTGGTAGACACTCATTAGAAGATGTTTCATGCCAAATATCTAAGCTCTAGCTCTTTGGGTTCTTTAAAAGAAGATATTTAAAGATTTTTCTTTCGGTTGCCATGGCAACCAGAGTTCTGCATGAAATGGAATTCTTTGAACAATCTTGATAGAGCTTTATACAAAGAGTATTCCTGCCAAGTTTCATTAACATTGGCCTTGCGGTATCATAGAAGATGTCCTTAGAATATTTAAAATGTGGACGGACGACTGACGACGGACGCCATTTGGTTGGCCATACTAAAAGCTCACCTGCACTTTGTGCAAGGTGAGCTAAAAACATGTGGCATTGACTTTTATAATTTTAGATTCGCAACAGACGATAATAAGATAATTTTGATATTAAAAGACCTTTAAAGACCTTTTCCCAGCAACTTATTAATTTTAATAGAACAGAACAAATATTTTATTATTTTCAGACTTGAGCATTAGATAAATAGATGTGTATATTTAAGCGCCACTGGGTCGTAACATATTAATTAACAGGGTGCATA